ACCACCCCCCAAAAAGGTCTTAAGGCGCTGGGCGCAGTGGCGCACACCTGTAATCCCAACAGCTCTGCAGACTGACAAGAGGATTGCAGGTTCAAAGCAAGCCTCAGAAACAGTGAGGTGGTAAGATGGGGATGTGACTCTGTGGTTGAGTATCCTAGAGTTCAAGCCCCAGTACCAAAAAGGTCTCAATGCTCTGTCACCACTCTATCCCGTCTTCATAACTAAGTTCAACCAGCCTTCCCTGTAAATAAGGGAACCAGTAATCATCTCATTCACCAAACAAACTAATAGCAACTCGATCCTGGGATTCCCACAGACTGAGCTGTTATCTCATCCCTTTCAATGAAGTCCTCAACAGAACACAGGATAACCTGGAAGTTTTGTCGTTTTGTTTCGAATACCCATCTACTCCCTGCTAAACAGGTTCTTTATAAACATCACCTGTTTATAGAGCCACAACAGGGTGCAGACAACTGTGATGTCAGCCAGTGTCACTCGTTCGCCCACAAGAAAAGTCCTCGTCTTCAAGTGAGCATCCAGCAGCCCCAGAATTCGCCTCACCTCCTCCTTTGCATTTTCAGTGGCCTATTGATTTAAACACTCAAATTTAATCAGCAGTTACCAATCCCTTTTCTTCACTCCCCTCACCAACAGAACTAAAGTAGGTACTCCACTGTATCCTGGCTCATCCCCACCCTTAGTCTAGGATCATTCTGAATGCATCATGAATGAAGCTCTTGATGTTAAACTTCTCCATGGTTTCTCTGGCTTCATTTCCCACTGTACTGATGGTAATCATTTATAGGAAGGAAACTTAAAGGTCATCTGGTCAAACTACTCCCCCTATCCCCCGAAAATCTGGCATAACCTCCCTATAGCAGAAATCCCACCTCTGATCACTTAAGAGTGGAACCACCTCCACTGGATCTGACAAGAACCCAGAAACCATCTATTGCTCACCGCTCCAAACTTAAAATTCAAAGGTTATGTTTTTGCATTCCCACATCTTTTTCTCATTTTGTTTTATTTCCTCCTCTCCAACATTCAGGAACAGTTACCACCTCTGCACTTGGCTTCTCCCCAAGTTCTAAAGCTCACCTGTTTGTTGTGGTGCATGATGCCCAAGGTAGGGAACACCCAGGTACTGGCTGGGGGCACTATGTCACTATCAGCAAAGCTCACCCACTGCACCACCTGGGCTGCTGCCTCTGGAGTACTTCCCCGCAGCTCCTCATTGCTCACTGCAGAGGTAGAACACAAAGGTCAAAACTTTGGGGTTATGCCAACACCAATCCAGGTCCCTGACAATTCCTCCTTGTCCACTGCAAGTTGCCCTCATTCTCTCCTATGTCCCCACCTTCAGACCCTCCCATTCCTGTAGAGCCTTGAAAATTACCATAGTAGGCGATGGCATTGCTCTCAAACACACAGAATCCATCATCACCCTCAAATGCTGGAACCTAAGGACAAAGTAATGAAAAGATAAATTACACCAGATTTCTCACTAACCAATTCCAAGAACCTAATTGTTTTGACAAAAATATTTATATAAGACTAATAACCCTTGCTTTCCAAATCATACCATCTGAAACTCAAGAACCAAAACTCATATCCCTTGCAATCTGAATTCACAATATTTGAACTAACAATTCAAACATTATGGATACTGGAATATCTGTATAAAAATCCCTCAATCAAATAATCAGAAGGCCAGAAATTAAGTCTTACATCTATGTCTAAATCTTTGAAAAGTTTTGGAGTGCAGTCCACATAGCACTTATCTCCTCTACTCTGAGTATGGTTATTACCTCTAGAAGCCTCTTGGATGGAGTAAGAATCCCACTTATAGTAAGTACTTGATATATTTGTACTGGTAACACTTGGTTAAAATACGTTCTTTCTCACAAAGACAAATAAACCCCTGAATTGCTTAAAATCACTGAGTATCTCCATTATTTTCTTTTTAAAAAGTATTTATTTATGTATTTTTTTAGTTTTAGGTGGACACATTATTTTGCCTTTATGTGGTGGATGATCGAACCCAGTGCCTCATGCATGCTAGGCAAGCATTCTACCACTAAGCCACAACCCCAGCCCTATTTTCTACAACTACACACGAATCTACAACTATTTCATGGTAAAATTTTTCTTAAATTACTGAAATGTGAAAGAAAACAACATGGGAAGTCCCCTTTTAAAGATGGATGTCATCTCCAAAGTGATGGAATCCCAGGGCTTCTTCAGTTCTCAGGCTCAGAAGCTCCTCTCCAGTCCCCTACTCACCTTGCCAGCAGGAAATTTGCGGAGAAATTCAGGGGTACGGTTGGTTTGGCCAAAATGGAAATGGGGTGGTGCGGAGAGCACGCGGACCTGAGCCCCACTGTACTGAGCAGCGATGAGGGCCTTGAAGGCCCTCCAGTTTTCAGGGTATGTGTACAGGGTCTATGTAAGAGAGAGGAGAATAAAAACATGAATAGAAGGGTCCCAGTCCTAAATGCCACCCCCTCCCCAGGACTTTCCTGAGTAATTCCAATCTGTTCAATTCACTTTAACTCCGACGGGAGAACCAAGTTCTTTGGTATTTGTCACACGTAATCAGAGTCCTCTGAAATACCAAGAACAGAACTACATACCAACTGCTAAATAAAGCTTGCTGACAGATCTGACCTTCCCTAAGGACATTCAGAAACATTCTCTTCCCCTCAAGTACACCTCCAAGAAATCCAGAAACTCAGGTTCCATCAGACTCCTCTGCCTACAAACACAGACCCCTCCCGTTCCTGAGTCCTTGTTTCATTCATTCTAGGTGAACTAAACGCCTGACTACTGCTGAGCTGCGCACTGCTTCAGAAGCATTGCCCTATCTCTAGGCACGCACACAGACTGGGAGATTTCCAAGTGCCCTTCGAAATAGCCACGTTAATATCGAATGGCATGCTCTCTCTTCCTTACTACTCTTACTAAAAAACCGTTCTTTCCTTGTCGCGCACATCATCCCTCCGGTCTTGTCCTGCAGCGAGTTCCCAAGTGTGTTCTCTATTAAACCGAACGGCGATGTCCAATTAGCCCGACTTCACTGTCCCGAGACTCTTCTCGCTCCCAAACCTCTCTGACATGAACCTTAGTACTGCCAGTCGTCCCTACCCACAAAGACCCTCCTCTCTTCACCCTGTCCCCGTTGCTGCCCTGCAAAACGATCACAAAAGTTCCATCAACCTGCTCAAATCACACTTCTCAAAGCCACAAAGAAGCCGATCCATCTTTTTCAGGCTTCAGAGCGCGCGAACCCAACATCTCTTTTCTCTTCCACCCCAGAACCTTCCACCTTTGGCTTTGGAGAGCCCCAGCCTCAGTTCCCCTCCAGGCCCTAGGAACCCTGTCTCCGACAGTATGGTCTGTAGACCCCGAATCAGCGATCCACTTGGCTCCAGAACTCCTCTGACCGCGACTGGACCCAGTCCGGCAGAGGATGGCGGCGGATAGGGTGAACCGGATCACCCGAGCCGGCAAACTTACCCCAGCCGCCATGGTGATTCCGCAGAGAAAGGGGGTGGGGCTCTCGATGCTGCCGCAAAGTAAGCCGCCAGGGAGAGAAGGGAGGGGGGAAGGGGAGAGCCGTGGAGAAATAACAGCCGGAAAGTGAGGACGACACAGAAGGCATACGCACGACAGTTCCGTATCCAGCAGCGCTGAATTGGAAAAAGAAAGGGGTGGGGCCTGCTGGCCTGCGCGGAAAAGGCTCGCGCCTGCGCAGTGGAGTTCTTAGCTGGCCCGCCCCGCAGGCGTAGCCGACCAATCGGAATCCGACAGGAGGTGCAAGGCACCGAGAGAACGGAAAGTGTGAGAACCAGCTGGAAAAGCTGCCCCTTCATAGCTACGTGGCGCGGCTGCAAGCCTCGCGCGGCGCAGGCTCCTGGCGTGGTGCCTGCGGGTTCTTTCGCCCGCCCACGACGGAAGATTCGCTGGTAGGTTCCGCTGAGCCCCTCACACCATGATTGTGTGAAACCCAGAAGAGTTAGAAACTGCTGCGGGGAGGTGGCAGTTTGAGAAATTCCTTTGTTTCGCTTGTTTTCTCTAGAAAGGGATGCATATCTAATTAGGGCCCAAGTCAGAAACCCCTGAAAGGTAGGTTTGCTCCCATTAAACCTCCTTGCAGCTCCGGGATGCCGTTAGGGCACCGGATCTCTGCCATGTCCCTTCCACATCCTTCAGGAGGCTGGCTTGGCCATTCAGAGCTGAGGATTGTCGAACTGCGACGTAAGGCAGTTCCGTTCTGTGTGTTTATGCGGGGGGTACTGGAGATGGAACCCAGGGACATTCTACCACTTAACTGCATCCTCAACTTGAGACAGGGTCTCACTAAATCAACCAGGCTGTCCTCAAACTTGCGATCCTCCAGTCTCAGCCTCTGGGGTAGCTAGGATTACAGGCATGCACCAACACTGAGGCTGACAGTTATGATGGGTTGCCTTTGGGGGGGCGGGTGTACTGGCGTCTAAGTCATTGTGCTACATTTCCCAGTCTTTTTGAGACAGGGTCTCACTAAATTGCAGAGGATGGCCCCAAACTTGTGATCCTCCTGTCCCAGCCCCCTGAGTCGCTGAGACTACAGGCATGTGCCAACCAGACAGGATTGATAGGGGTTTTTTGTACCCATATTCAGGTTTGACAAATCTTTTAGCCAGTTTAAGAGTAGGATGAACTTTCCTGTTAAAGGAGAGACCAGATGAACCCAAATTTCTAGCCATGTCACTTATTCATAAACGTGGGGTGGGGCAGCAGGGTAATTGTGGAGGCAAATTGGTTCTAGCAAGTAAGTACTGATCAACCCACCATAATATCATTCAGGAAATGGGGTGAGGGGGGACCCAGAACCACCATGCTTATTTTAGGGTAGTTGGATCAGACAGGTGGGAAGGCTGCATGAAGCCCTGGGAACAGGCAGGAAAAAAGGGTAGAAGGATTCATACCAGGTGAAAATTAGAGAAAACTAGAAAGTATCTGTATTAAACTAGCAGCTTTATTGCCCTTAGGGTCCATGTCCTCAGAGGAGTTTTCTAAGTGCTTGAGGGAGAAAAACCTGTAAGAAATGATGGAGATCAGGGAACAGGCCTTGGGAGTCCCGGAGTGGAGTCACGGTGAGAGTCCGGTCAGCCTCGGAGGCCGATGCCACAAAGGCCAGGAGGGGTTCAGTTTCTGGTCTCTGTTCACAACAGTTCAGCCCCCCCAGTTCTTGGGTCACCTGAGCCTCTACTGCCAGCCATTCTGCTCCCACGCCAGCATTGCCTCCATCTCCTTCCTTGGTTTGCTGCTGCAAGCGTCTCCGAGCACGCCGTCGCCCCTGCCATACTCGATGCCACAAGGCACAGCGCCAGCTCACTGAAGACAGGGAAGATGCCCCCTTCCCTGTCTCGCCCTTCATCTCTTCTTGGGCCACCTTAGGTCCCATGGGTCCCTGCTCAGCCAGCAGCACTACATGGCCTGGCTGTCCCTCTTCTCCAGTGGCTAGATACTTTCTGGTCATCAGGGGTGGTTCCCCTGATTGCCCAGGACTCTGCATGGCCCAGTCTTGTGGTGTCTCTCCAACCTCTATAACCATTTCTTCCACCCCATCTTCACTGTGGTCCCCTACACATCCCTGCTGCTCCTCTTTTCCCTCCTCACAGCTCTTTTTCTGTCCATCAAGTTTCAATCTTTTGTTCGTCCCTCCCTGGAGAGACTCTTCAATCCCACATCCTTCTGACCGTGGTCTCTTGGTTCCCTGTTCTATATGGCATCCCAAGGCTTCTCTTAACACCTGGACCACAGCAGCACTGAGCTGGGGAAAGGGAAAAGGGGGTAAGGGGATGGGCATGGCAGACAGCAAGGAGCTCGGAGAGCTGGGCTGCAGAAGGGGGAGCAGCCCCCAGTCCCGACCCCTAGAGGAACGGTGCTGGTACTGGAGGCTTCGGCAGTAATTAGCTGCTGCTCGGCAGCAATTCTGTAGTCGCCCAACCACCCGGCTGGTCACGTTGGCTGCAACATTGTGACTCAGGTCAAAGGGGTCCTGGAGATTCATGGGGCCAAGGCGCAGACCTTCCCAAAGATTAGAGGGCAGGCCCCCTGCCACTGGCAATGCCTGACCCTCCCTCAGGGATAGCAGTGAGCCAGCAAGATCCCAGCCAGAAACGCAGGAGAAGAACTGAGCCAGCAGGGAACCTGGAGGAGGAGGTGGATTAGGGAAAGGGGGTCAGTTGGAAGCTGGAACTGAGACTGAGACAGGTCCTGCACCATAGCTACTTCCTTAGCAGGACTTTCTTTTTCCCTCCCAAGGGGCTCAGAAGAGTCCTGGGAAACCAGGCTTCTCTGTTCTGATCCCTATAAACAAGAGGTCAAGCCTCCCTTCCTACACCCCAGCCATGTCCTTTCCCAGATGCTTCTCCCTGCCTTTACTAGCAGAGTAGCTTTAGGCAAGCCACTGAACTGCTCCAAGGCATGGACTATAGAGACTGAGATTATTAACAGTCCTCCCCAGACTCACTGAGGGGCTCCACATTGGTACTGGGCTCCAGTCTTGAGGCATCCCTGGGGAAACTACAGTCCCAGCCATCAACTTCCACTTGCTCTCCCTCACCTGTGAAAGCAAAAAAGGAGGGGGTCAGTTGGAAACAGGAAGATTAGAGGAATGAGGGGTTGTAATTGGGTTGACAGCAGAAATCTCATTCCATGGTGGCTTTATAAGGAAGCAGAGGCACAAAACTGATGAAGTAGAAGGTGGAGGCTGGGCTGAAATACCTGCTTTTTGGGTGAGTTGGGACACAGTGGGCAACACAGGAGGGTCCCTGGTCTGAAGGAAATAGATCACAAGCAAGGTCAAGGCGTAGTTATTCAGAAGCGGGCCACTCCCTGTATAAATAATCAATCATTCCAGTTAGGGAAGAGGTGTTTCCAAACCCCTCATTGGCAGTTTTTTCAACCCTGGTTCCTATGTGCACCCTTCTCTCCCTGAATCCTTCGTTCTGATATCCAACTCAGACCAAGTCTATTCTGATTCATCCTTACCTGACAGCCCTCGACCCTGAGCCCAGCAGCGGAGAGTATACACAAGGGGCCGGACTCGCCCATCCAGCTCAGAGCAGAGACTCAAGAAACGGGAATTATGTAGGGCTAGCCTGGAACAAAGGAGACAAGGGTGTTAGGGCTTGGGAACCTATCACCCTATTAGATCTCATTCCAGACTTAGGGCCAGCTGCAATAAAATAAAGAATGTTTCCCAAAGTGTTACCAAAATACTGGTCTTGCTCTGGGCAGAGTGGTGCACTCCTGTAATCCCAGTAACTTGGGAGGCTGAGGCAAGAAGATCACAAGTTCAAGGTAAGCCTCAGAAACTCAGCCAGACCAAAACAGAAGGATTGCAAGTTCAAAGCCAGCCTCAGCAAAAGCGAGGCTCTAAGCAACTCAGTGAAACCCTGTCTCTAAATAAAATACAAACTAGGGCTGGGGATGTGGCTCAGTGGTTGAGTGCCTCTGAGTTCAACCCCTGGTACCCCACCCACCCTCACCAAAAAAAAGTCAGGGCTGAAGATGTAGCGCAGTGTTTGAGGAAGCCCTGTATTCAATCCCTAGTACCACACACAAAAAAATTATGTCAAATGAACTTGGGTAGGGCTGGGGATTTAGCTCAGTTGTAGAGTGCTTGCCTCAAACGCACAAGGCTGTGGGTTCAATCCTCAGCACCATTTAAAAAAAAAAAGAATTTGGGTAGCACAATAGTCTATATGCTCATCTTCACCATTCACAGAGCTGCTATTTATTACAAGACCTCTCAGAGCCTTTAATAAACAAAGCTATACAGTAAGGAAAGAAGAAAGAAAGGGGAAGGGGAAGAAGGAAAGAGAGGGAGAATCCTGTCTGAATTTAACTTTACCTTTCCCAAATTCATGTAGTCACAGAACTCTCTTCTACTTCTTCTAAAAACAGTATTTCAAAGAACACACTTTACCAACATTGAAATGGAAACCAGATAAGAGAGGTAAATGGCAGAGATAGAACCAAACAAGGACCACTTGACTTAGCAGATACAGAAGATTCCCAAGTCAGGACTCCTCCCCAGCACCCCAGAACTCAGCTAGTCTTTCCCCACCACACACAAAGGTACCGGTTACTGAGGGAGACGTCACCATGAAGACCAGAAGGTCGATGGCAGAACTTGACAACAGGGCGCCGGGCAGAAGGCACAGTTTGGACTCGGTACACCCCAGGGACACAGCCCCGGAGAATGGATCCCACGAGCTCCAGCATTGCTGCTCCCTCTGGCTTCTCCCCCTTTGGGGCCTCTGCTAGTTCCAGGGCCTTTCCCAGGTCCTGCTCTCCCCTGTCTTCCTGCAGTGGTGAGGCTGGAGGCAGGGACTGGGGAGAGGCAACAGTCTCAGAGGCCAAAGCCGAGTCCGGAGTCTGGGGTGCCAGGGAGGAGGAAGGAGTTCCACAGTCCAGGGCTTCAGAATCTTGGGGAGAAGCTGGAGACTGTGAGCCTAGAGGGGAGGCTAGGGCACAGGCCAGGGCTTGAGGATCCAGTGGAGAAGCAAGGGCTGAGTCCAATGATGGAGACTCGGGAGCCTTTAAGACTGACTGTGGATAGAAATGAGCTGTGTGAATGCCTCTCCTACTATCCCCTAACCAGGGGACATCTCTGACCCCAAGACAGTATCTATACTTAATGGTTATTATATGCCAGTCTCTATTCTATGGGCTTTACATATATTAACTCATTTTCTCCTTCCTCCTAGCAATCCTTTCTTAAAATAAACTTTTAATCCTGTAAAATGGTCTATATTTTACAAAACTATCATTGTCATGAAAGACAAAGAAAGGCAGAGGAACTATTCCAAAATAAAGACTAAAAATACAACAGGACAATGTCAGGACAGCTGTACCAGTATAACATTTCCTGGACTTGATCACTGTACTGGGGTTACACACTAGAGTGCCTTTGTTCTTAAGTAATTCACATTAAAATATTAAGGGTAAAAGGACATGATGACTGCAACCTTCTCTTAAGTGATTCTGAAGATATAAATTGTGTGTATGTAAAGAAATAGAGATTGGCGTTTTTCAAGAAAACAACCAACCCCTAGCCAGGCTAGATGAGGCATGCCTGTAATGCCAGCCAACTCGAGAGGCTGAGGCAAGTTTGAGATCAGCCTCTGCAACTTAGCAAGACACTGTCTCAAAATAAAAATTTAAAAAAGGTCTGGCAATATAGCTCAGTAGTACATAATCCCTAGGAAAGAAAGAGAACACAACTCTTTTTGGGGTTGGGGATGTAGCTTAGTGGTATATCACTTAGTTAGCATCCCTGAAGCCCTGGGTTCCATCCCAGCACTGCAAAGAAAACAATGACACTTTTTGTGGGGGCAACAGGTATACAGAAACTCTACTTTCTGCTTCACTTTTCTAAGAACCTAAAACTGGCCTAAAAAAATAAAGTCAATTATTAAAAAATAACCATAGCCCTTTCCTATTCCAAAAATAAAATGTGTACATTAGATGTCAGAAAATATACATAAGCAAAAACATAATCCTAAAATTACTCTATAACCTTTTATCCATCCATATTCACATTTCTCCAATAACAATAACCCTTTCACATAGGTCCCATTATTCCCATCTTTATAAATGTAGAACTAAGGCAGAGAGGTTAAGAACTTGCCCACAGTCATATGACCATTCCCTGCCTGCCTCCCTGATCACTCACCTGGGGCTCTTCCAAGTCACCCAGATCCAAGAAGAGGTCAAGATCACAGCCATGGACATCAAAGCTGTTTATGGACGAGCCAAAAGGATGGACCACACAGCCTAAGTGCCAAGCAGAGAACAAAGGTTTGATTCTCAGCACCACATTAAAAAGTAAGTAAATAAATAAAGATATTGTGTGTCCACCTAAAACTAAAAAATACATATATTTTTAAAAAGGTGCAGAAACATTAGGGAAGAGCAGGAGACTTCAGAACACAGTGGAGTACAAAAATGAAAGACCAATCAAATAAACACCTCCAGGTGAGGAGACCTACGTATTCAGACACGGCAGAGCAAAGGACAGGAAGGGATCACATGTTGGGGAAGGGGACTTACCAGGGAAGAACTCTGTGAAGACCTCCTGCATCAGGGCCACCACAAGGCTCCGAAGCTGCTGCTCAGCCTCAGACAATTCCCTCAACTGGACAAGTTTTACCATCTGTGCTTCCACATCTGGAGCCTCAGCTAGTGCTTTCGCCAGCTGGTGACTATCAGGCGCTGCTCCTTTGGGGGATTTGGAGGCTGGACTCTGGAACTCCTTCTGCTCCCGTGGCCGGACCCGCAAGCGATGTCCTCCCAGGCTGTGTTGGGATTGTGATAAGACAGCCTCCCGAGCACCCATGTCTCCCATCTCCACAATGGCAAATACTCCCTGGCAAACCACAGGAATGATGGTTTTGCAACCAAGAATCTAAACACATGCTCCCACAAAGTATAAGATTCTTTGAAATGCAGATTAACCCATGCATTGGGAATATGTACTTGTTTTCATTAACAGGGAACCTATTTAGAAAAGCAATTGTCGGTGGGGCTGGGGATGTGGCTCAAGCGGTAGCGCGCTCGCCTGGCATGCGTGCGGCCCAGGTTCGATCCTCAGCACCACATACAAAGATGTTGTGCCCGCCGATAACTAAAAGAAAATAAATATTAAAAAAATTCTCTCTTTACTCTCTGTCTCTCCCTCTCTCTTTAAAAAAAAAAAAAAAAAAAAGAAAAGCAATTGTCGGGCTGGGGTTGTGGCTCAGTGGTTAGAGCGCTCGCCTCATGTGTGCAAGGCCCTGGGTTTGATCCTCAGCACCCACATAAAAATAAATAAATAAATAAAGTTTAAAAAAGAAAGAAAAGCAATTGTCTCTCAGAATTCTCATACATCATATTCTCACCCCAGTATGCCTCTGGAAAAATCTCATTTATTGTTCCTTATTTTTCCCAATAATATGATTTCACAAGCTATAATATGATCCATTCCTTAACTCTTCCTGGTTTGACTTAACATTTATGAAAACTCCATATAGGCTGGGTGCAGTGGCATACCCCTAGAAACCCCAGCAACTTAGGAAACTGAAAGTTCGAAGCCATCCTCAGCAACTTGGCAAGACCCTGCCTCAAAATCAAACATAAGCTGGATGCAGTGGTGCCCACCTAAAATCCCAGTGGCTCAGGAGACTAAGGCAGGAGGATCACAAGTTCAAAGCCAGCGTCAGCTGGCTTAGTGAGGCCCTAAGCAACTGTGTGAGACCCTGTCTCAAAACATAAAAAGGGCTGTGGATGTGGCTCAGTGGTTAAGCACCTCTGGGTTCAATCCCTAGTACCCAAATAAATAAGACTGGGGATATAGCTTGGAGGAAGTGAACCCGGGTTCAATTCCAGTACAAAAAAAAAAGAACCACATGGCACTGGGGGTTAACTCAATGGTAGACCACTTGCCTCGAATGAGCAAGGCCGTGGATTCAATCCCCAAGACCACACACACACACACACACATAAAAAAAAAAAAAAAAAAAAAAAAAATCTTTAAAAATCTGTGTGGGGCTGGGGATATAGCTCAGCATTCAGTAGTAGAGCACAGCATAACATTTGTAAGGCCCTAGGTTAATCCCTAGCACACACACAAAAAAATCTATGTTACGCACACTTCCAGGCATGAATGTAAATACATAAATCTGATCTTCAAGGGATTTAGCATCTAGAAAAAACAGCAATATAATGGCCAGGCTTCTATGATTTGAGTGAATTCAATCATAATCATTGGACCATGTTTTTGTTTATTTAGTTGTCAGTGGACTTATTTTATTTATATGCGGTGCTAAGGATTTAACCTAGCCTCATAAATGCTAGGCAAGTGTTCTACCGCTAAGCCACAACCCTAGTCCTGGACCATATTTTTTAAAGGTAAAATGTTAGCAGAAGCAGTAAAAACATGAGTGTTTGGGGGCAAAATGCATTATTCTTTTATGTCCTCTCCAGTAGTAAAGCTGGAGCCAATATCCTCATTATAAAAAAGGACCCTCAGTTGAGTGCAGTGGCACACACCTGTAATCCCAGGAACTTGGGAGGCTGAGGCTGGAAGACTGCAAGCTGAAGGCCAGCCTGGGCAACTTAATATGATCCTGTCTCAAAAAACATTTTTTAAAATTTTAAAAGCTGGGACTATAGCTCAGGATTCAATCCAGAGTACAAAAAAAAAAAAAAAAGGCATCCTGTAACAAACACAATGTGATAGTGGCATAAAAGATGAAGGGAATGGAATTGAGTCACACAAATAAACATGCACATCTCCAGTCAATGGATTTTCAACAAAGGTGCCAAGACCCAGGAGGAAAAAAACAGTCTTATTGATAAATGGTGCTGGTCAAATGGATAGTCATATGCAAAAGAATGATGTTGGACCTTTACCTCATACCATATACAAAAAAATCAACTGGGGGGGCTGGGGTTGTGGCTCAGAGGTAGAGCACTTACCTAGCATGTGTGAGGCACTGGGTTTCTCAACATTGCAAATAAATAAATAAAATAAAGGACTACTGACACAACACCTTTATTTTATTTATTTTTATGTGGTGCTGAGGATCAAACCCAGGGCCTCGCATGTGCTAGGCAAGTGCTCTACTGCTGAATTGTAACCCCAGCCCTGACAATTAAAACATATTTAAAAAAAAAGAAAAATCAACTGGGGGAATGGCCTCACCAGCACATAGGCCTGAGTCACAGATGGGGAGTGACCAAAAAGGGTATGAGATTTTTTTTTTTTTTTTTTTTGAGGTAGTAAAATCATCTTGGAATTAGATAATATTGATGATTGGAGAGTGTTAATAAATATAGTAACCACTGAATTATATACTTTTCTTTGTAGTATTGTATTGGTGATTGAACCCAGGCATGCTGTGCCACTGAACTATGTCCCCAACGCTTTTGTATTTGTCTTGAGACAGTCTTGCTAAATTGCTGAAGCTGACCTCAAACTTGTGGTTCCTGAGTCGCTGGGACTGAATTATATACTTTTAAAGGGTGACTTTTTATGCGATGTAAATCATATCTAAATTTAAAATCATATCTCAATTATCCTTTCCTCCCTCACTTCTACCTTTATGCCAAACAGAGTAAAGAAACTAAGTGAAGCCAAAGACAAAGGCAGCTACTTGAACATGCACAGGCTAGTCTCTCAGGAATCATAAAACACCAGACCATAGTTCAACATCAAGTTTGCAACCAAAGCCCCAACTAGAAATTAAGTTTCCCTTTGCCTGGCCTGGTCTTGATGCACACATTTCTTTCAAAAACTTCAGGGAGAGGAGAATTAGCAGATTTAGAAGGCTGTATGTGTCCTGGCCCTTTTTCCCTTCTCAGTGCCCCCATCCCTAATTAGAGCTAGCATTTGTTTAGAGCTTATTTTAAATCAAGCAGTTCACACACTCTACTTCTAAGGCTCATATGTATTATTTCCATAATAAACACCTCTAAAATTTAGAGAGGGCAAAAACTTGTGGCTGCCTCCCAAGTATTTCTTAAACTCCAGAATTTCCAACTTAATTATTTATAATATATTGTTAATATATATTTAAATTAATATTATGTGTTATATATCTATATAATTCATATAACTATATTAGCTTCAACATATTGATTAAATAACTAATTAATGGGAAAGATCATTCTTTGCAGAAGAAATAATTATCAACAAAAATGGGGACACTGAGGTTTCTGAAGAAGTAACTTGGGGGGGCTGGGGATGTGGCTCAAGCGGTAGCGCGCCCCCCTGGCATGGGTGTGGCGCGGGTTCGATCCTCAGCACCACATACAAACAAAGATGTTGTGTCCGCGGAAAACTAAAATGTAAATAAAATATTTTTTAAAAAAAGTAACTTGGGGAAGACACTGACAACTGTCCACCCAATATGCATTTTCTTTCTTCTTTCTTCCTTATTAACAGAACCCTGACTTTGTTCAGAAACAAAGTGCCCATCTGAAAAAACTTAATTTCATAGGCTTCCCTACAGCTAGGGGTAACATGTGACAGAAGTCTGATTGAGGAAATATAAGAAGCCTAGCAAGAAAGTCTCAGAAGGAAGGGGAAAAGGGTGTCAGAATCAGCAGGCATTAGCCTTTTATACTCTGCCCTTCAACCTAGTGAGAGCCACATGACACGTCAATACTGACAGAGCAAGAAAACAATAAAACCATGGACTGCCCAGGCTAGACTTCTTGTTACTCAAGAAAAATGAAGCTTTTATCCAAGCCACTTGAAATTTGGTTGCTTAATGGAAGCACTAATAAAATCTTCTAAAAGATCTGGTCTGCTAAAGAAATATGGATAACTTTTTGTGTGTGTGGTACTGGGGATGGAACCCAGGGCCTCAGGCATGCTAGGCAAGCACTCTACTACTGAGCTATTCCCTCAGCCCCTAAGCCCCTAAGTGATCACCTAAGCCCCACCTATATAATCAGAATGAAGCTTCAGAACCACAATATTACCAAACAATACAGCATCACAATAGTGGATTTGTTTCAAGAGACTAAAGAAACAGTAACAAAAGGTTTGCATGGAAGCAAGGCAAAAAATACTACCACAAACAAGCTTGTTTGTCTAGCACTGTCCAGGTCAGGTTTTTCTGACCAAATCACCACAGATCTTAATGTAGTTATTGCCAATGGTATAGTAGTCTATAAGCACCAATTTTTCACTATAATTATTCATTACATTGTTTACTTTTTCCTCTAGATTATAAGCTCTGTACAAGCAGGAACCACATCTATCCCATTCACTACTCAGAATGCAGTCCTAAACACAGGAACATATAAAATACAGGGGATGGGAAAGGGGTGAGAATCTCACAAAGCTATCTGAAGTTATGTGGAATCCACGAAGGACAAGCCACATTAGGAACCAGCCGAAGCAAACTGCTAGTTTGTCTCTTTTGGTATATAGCACACCTGACTCACTCTACCCCCAAAGCTATTCACTCTACCTTGTCTTTGTCCATGACAACACTGGCCACAGGTCCAAATGCCTGGAAGTACTCAGAGAGCTGGGCAGAATTCACATCCCTGGGAAAGCCACTAACAAACACACTTCGAAGTCCCTGGGCCTTTCTGGCAGCTCGAAGTTCTACCAGATGCCGGTGCTTCTGGCCTCCCAAGTGGGCATCTAGGCTGGGTCCTGCAGAAACAAGTGTGAGACAAAAACATCCAAATTATTCTTCAGTGTATCTGTCTTCTGGCTCTGCTCTGTGCATACTTAAATCCTACTGATACTTTGAAGTCACAGAAAGTGTGACCTTTAAATAAACAGTGTGACCTTTAAATAAACCAAGTCCTGGCTCCCTTCATATTTGACATTCTTATCTATTTGTCTATATGGTACATTGTCTTAAGTGGTTTCCAGGAGAACTGCGACACTACAAGTAGTTCTTAACTAAATCCATTATGTACATCATCCTGTATTTCAGACACCTATAAAATCATTCAATTTAGGGGCTGGGGTTGTAGCTCAGAGGTAAAGTGCTTGCCTAGCACATGTGAACCCAGCACATATGGTACTGGGTTCAATCCTCAGCACCACATAAAAATAAATAAATAAAATAAAGGTATTGTGCCCAACTACAACTAAAAAAACTAAATATTTTTTTAAAACATTATTCAGGTTCAGGCTTTTTTTCATTTATGTTTTTTGGTGCTAAGGATTACACCCAGGGTGCTCTACCACTGAACTACATCACCAGGATTTTTAAATTTTTTGTTTTGAGACAGGGTCTCACCAAGTTGCTGGCCTTGAATTTGCAATCATCCTGCCTCAGCCTCCCAAGTCACTGGGATTACAGTTGTGTGCCACCACACTGATTCAATTTAAAATTTTATGGGTGTCCTATATATAGACTGATGGAACATAAAGGGTTAAACCATCAATAAATAAATTTCATGTGTGTGTATATATATGTGTGTGTATATATATATATATATAATGCTAGGTAGAATAACACCTGAAAATTATAAAGAAATTTAACAGGCAACTTATCCAAGTCATATAGAGAAGAACTGAATAAATATAAGTTCCTGGATGATCGTCATGAATCAAATGTGGATATGTGAATAGTGACTACAAGTATAGAATATGAAACTGCACTGCCCAAGTTCAAATCCCAGCCCTGTGAAGCTGTGTGAGTCTTGGCCAAGTTGCTTAACCTCTTTGTGCATCAGTTTCCTCAGAATAAAATGAAGATTAAAAAAGTACCTACCACAAAGCTATTATTCATATATAGCACCTGGCAGAGAGTCTGATACATGGCCAAAAGTGGAAAAATTAGCTGCCAGTATTATTTTTATTACCAGTCAGCTGCTTGATGTCACCAAAGTATCTGTGGGGTCAAGAAAGACTCCTAGGGTAGAGGGGAGGATGGGGGTTAAGAAAGATGGTGGAATGAGATGGTCATCATTACCCTAGGTACATGTATGATTGCAGGAATGGAGTGACCCGACTTTGGGAACAACCAGAGAAATGAAAATTCTGCTTCATTTGTGTAGAATGAATCAAAAATCATTTTGCTGTCATGTATAACTGATTCAAATAAATAAATAAGAAAGACTGACTCCTGGGTTTCTGGTTTGTCCTACTAAAGACATATGGTGAGGAAAAAAAGAACAGAAGACTCTGTTCAGGAAGATCCCAATTCTAGATTTCATTGAGCCTTTTGCACTGTTGTACAAAGACCTCTGCCTTTTCCTCCTGATACCTTCTGCACCATTTATGCCATACAGTTTCACCTGTCCTCTGTAAGTATTCCCCAACTTGATTACTGCCTTCTCTGTAATGTCACAGCTCTCCAAACACATCCACAGAGCACTGAAATATCTCAATCTAGATGATGAGCTCCTGTATCTCTGAACGCCGCCCCCGCCCCCCGGAAAAAAAAAAAAAAAAAAAAAAGCCAGCAAAGGACCAGGCAAAGAGCAGATGTCTGGTAGATGATGGTTAAAGAGCAAATAATAAAACTTTCATCGTGGAGATTTCCTATATTGGAAAGGAAAGGCGTAAAGTGGTGGGACTTTTCCCACTCTCCAATCTTCTCGTTCGTATCTGAAAGAAGAGGTGAGTGACCCTACCAACCGACTTAACGGGAACTATGATCAATTACCCTAACTTTCGCTAGAGCCCAAAGGTGAAACCCACAACCACCCCCTCACTAGCCACCGCTTACGGTTGGCTGTAGTAACGTGGCAGAGGCGGCAGCGGAAACCCCCACGCGACAGCGATTCGACATCCGAATCCACCGCCGCCATGACGACTCTCCCGTACGGACAAAATGCAACCACTTCTGCCACCGCCGGAATTCTTCCAAACCGCGTCGCACTCAGAAGCAACTTCCGCCAGTCTTACAGGAAGTGGCGTAAAGCTGCCATCCGCGCAAGCACACTCCTCCGGAAACCTATCACCTTCGATTCAGGGTTCCGTTTCTAGCCTGTTTTAGCGCCCATCTACGACGCCGATTGGGGTGCTCTGACCAGGTCCGGCGTTGATTGGCCCAAAGAATCGTGAATATTCATAAGGCATTCACAAAGACTGTTGTCGGGTTGGCGTCGCCGGGCCCGCTGTTTGACAGCTGGTCAGTTTTCTTGCCAAGTTGCGGTGCGCTCCTTCTCTTCTCCGGACTGTAGAGACCCTAGCGCGGCTGCACCCTTAACCCCAAATTTAGCCAGTAAGTGAAGACGGAAGATGGGCAGCTTTCAATCATTTATCCTACGGAGCCCAGGGAGTCCAGCATCCTCAGGGGCTGCTCCTCCCTCTATTGTCCGGTTCTGCCAAACAGTTGTTTAAGGCCCGCTTCGTAGCCCTCACTGGGGAGCTCTGCTCCCAGCCGGTACCTTTTGGATTTCATGAGGCCACAACCACGTCATTACAATCCTGAGCCAGGCTCTTTATTTCCAAGGTAGCGGACTGCGTGGTGTACGAAATCTCCAGGGTCTCGGGCCCACTTCAAAGTAGTGCATCGGAAACGATTATGGTGGTAGATGAAATAACGATATTAGAGGGGCAAAGTGCTACTATGTCCAGACTGGTAATAGTGGTCACTTCCTCCAGATAACCACCCAGATGTAGGATAAAAGGCAAAGTAAGGGAGCTGGGAAGGCCCCTAGGGACAGGGACCCTAATAAGATGGAAGGATTATCAAGTAAGCTAAGCACCTCATGCTGTAGTTATCAGCTGATGGCTTTGAAATAGTGCAAAGAGCAGTGGACCTGAGACAGATAAACAAGGTCTGTAACTGAGCAAGTCACTTGGAGGGGGTGGGGAGCGGTGCCATAGACTGAACTCAGGGGCACTCAACCACTGAGCCACGTGCCCATTCCTATTCTATTTTTTGCGGTGCTGGGGGTTGGAACCCAGGGTCTTGTGCATGCCAGGCAAGCACTCTACCAGCTGAGCTATATCCCCAGCTCCCTGGCAGCTCGCTTTTTGCTGAAGCTGGCTTTAAACTCCCAATCCTCCTGTCTCAGTCTTCCAAGCCACTGGGATTACAGGTGTGCACCCCCACACTCAGCCTGAGCAAATTGTCCCTAAAGATGTGCCTAAACAGGAGCTGGAGTTGTGGCTCAGCAGTAGAGAGCTGCCTTGCATGTGCAAGGCCCTGGGTTCGAGCCTTAGCACCACATAAAAATAAATAAAATAAAGGTATTGTGTCCACCTACAACTACAAAAAACAAATTTTAGGAAAAAAAAAAAAAGTGCCTAAACAGAGTAGATTGGACTCTTTTCCCCACTAAGGCATTCTTCCTATTGGGTTCCATTCAGTCAGTTTATCTCCCAGACCTAAAAAAGCAGGAAAAAGCACATGCCCCTCTCAAGGCAGGTGTTGAGGCTGGCCCTGAGGTCCTAAAGCAGCAATCTATACACATACTCCACAGAGCTGGGTGGTATGATTCTGCTCTACCCAACACAACATACCAAGGTGGGCTACAGCTTACCTTAGCTACTAGCAATATCCAGAATTCCCTAAGGCAGAGAGGCAGTAATAGCTGAAAAAGAGGAAGAAGCACCCTCACACCCCTTCCTATGGAGGCCTACAGCCATCAGGGAGCCAATTTATCTCATCTTTCTTGGATGAATCTTGGCCATGATTATGCTTGGGCTCTAGCACCACTGGGAGCTCGTGGGACAGTTTGGGTTCCCCAAGAAGGCCTGCTGAAGTAGGCAGTTCAGGCTGCATCTCATAAAGCTGTACCCAGGATAAGCACCATCTGTACCTTTTTTATTGTCCTTTGTCCCTTAAAAGACATCCCCCAATACACACATCCATGGGAGAGAACAGCTGAGCCAGGAGGAGCTGAAGAAAACAGCTTTTTATTTGTTACTATAAGAACCAATTACAGAATCCGAGGTTAAAAAAACGGACAAAAGATCTTTATTTCCAAGATTGGCGTACAAAAGGCGGACAGGGAGGGGGAAGGAAGAAAGAGCGAGCATGGACTAGGGTTGATGCCAGTTTAGGGGCCTCAGACTCCAATTAGGAAAGTCCGGACACCGGACAGGAAGAGAAGCCCCCATTAGGAAAAAAAAAAAAAAAAAGACATGGCAGTGCACGCCCCCCTCCCCCAACCAGGTACCACTACCTGATATCTGTTACCTCTTCCCCTCCCCCATCCCCTTTCACAAAGGGAGGCAAATTTTTAAAAAAATTAAAAAAACCCTCCCCCCAAGACAATAGTGGGTCCTACTCCCCAAATTAGGCTAGGTGCCCACATGGGACAAGTTCCTGCAGGTTGCCCTGCATCACAAGCATGGAGAAGCATGGGAAAAGGACAAGCCACAGGTGGCAGCACCAGAGGGCGCCCAACCCCTCCAGAGACACACATGCACTTGCTCCCATACTCTCTCACTCCTCATTCCCTTTGATACTAAAGGGAAGGGAGGTTTGGGTGTCCTAGGCACCCACCCTCTATCTCAGCCCACCTCCCTTCCCCACAGATGCTCAATCCTCCAGGACAATGGGCTCATTGGTGCTGGCAGGATGTGTGGGTGCAGGCAGAGGGACTGGAGGCCTCACTGCAATCAGCGTCTGCTTCACCTTTAGAGGCAAGTTGGGCCTGCGGGCAGCTCTCCGCATTTCCAGGTGAGTTAGAGCCTTGCGCAGGGCCCTAGCGGGAAAGAGCAAGATAGGAACAGAAAAGACTTACAGAATGCTAACTAGACCCCCAAATGAAACCCCAGAGTTTCACTCTGTAATTCTGCCATCCAACCCATTCTTTTCTGGCACCCCCCCCCCCCCTTTTTTTTTTTTTTTTTTTTGTCTTTTTCTCTCTTTTTCCATCTAGTCTTCCTGGAGCTAGTCTTGCTCAGAAACTCCTATTTCCCATACCCAACAAACTGGGTACTCAACCTCTCAGCCCCTCTCATTATGGAATCCCTACCTGGTATCTTTTGTGGCCACAAACACCACAGGATTGGGAGCATCAGCTGGGTTTAGTTTCTGACGTTTAGCTGCTGGCTGTGAGCTTGAACGAATCCCTGAGGCCAGAGGCCTTCCATTGGCAGAGAAGGGGACCCCTGCCCCTGCCATCTGGAAAAGGATGGAATAGAGCAATGAGGGAGGAATTCCCCTCCGATTCCTATCAGAAACAAAAGTCCACTCAATTCAGCTTGGCCTACGCCAGTCTTTCAACTCACAGTCTCATAGGCCCGTTTCACCATAATTCCTCCCAAGCCCCGGTTTTGGGTCAGCTGGTTTCTGTTGATTGGTGTCTTGGTGCCCCGAGGTGTTTTTGGTTTCAGAGGTGCCTGGGCCACTGTCAGGAAAAATAAATAAATAAAACAGAAATTTCATACCTTCTCCCTATGTAATTTCCCTTTCTCACCTCCATCTCTTTGGGCCAGCAGTTTGCCTAAGCATTCTCAAAAGTAATGTTGGGGGAATGCTCTGAGAAGCTATTTAACAATATCCCCCCCCCAATCATATGAATATGATATTATCAAATCAGGTTATAGATATGAAAAAGCATTATAGGGCTGAGGTTGTAGCTCAGTGGTGGAACACATACCTAACATGAATGCATGAGGCCCTGGGTTCCATCTCTAGCACCACAAAAATAAAGAAATAAAATACACACCCACAAAAGTATATAGTCGGTTAAGACTAAATCTCTTGGAATCAGTGGGAAAGAAAAATGTAGGAAGAAAGGTCACAGTAGGACTGGGAGCCTGACACCACTCTTAACTGTCCATATCCTCTACACACCCTGGATCCAGTCTGGTTCCCCATCCCATACCCAGATCTTTGACAATCGTTGCCAGGGGCAGCCGCACCAAAGGGTGAATTTTCAGTGGAGTCTTGGCAGCCTTAGGAAGTCGAATGGAGCCTAGACAAAAGAAGAAAAATTCTGAAGGGGTTTTGTTATTCAGACTTCTTCTGGGGCATGAACCAGGTCTAATCTCCTAAATAATAATAATAAAACTTCCGTGGCTTACTATCTCTACAGTCATTAAACTACCAGAGAAACACTGGTATCTAGCCAGAGCACCCCTGAACCCACCACTAGCCCGGCCACTCATGCCCTTACACTCTGCCTTGATGGCATTGGCATTGATAGGGGCATAGGGTCGTCGGGCAGCCCTCCTTGGCTGTAACAGGTCCCTGCACATTCGTCTGGCAAGACGGGTCAGCTTCGTGGTCTGGAGCAGGAAAGTCTGCCTGTTCTTGGCCAGCAGCTTGGCCCGGTTGGCGCTGGTAGTATAGGGGGAGAGACTTTGGGCTTCAGGTCTGGATAAATGTCCCCTCGAGTGTGGCTCCTGGAGGAAGGGCATAGGAAAAAGGGAGACTGTAGATTGGCACTAAGGCTCCCTTTTTTCTTCTAATACCTGCAGAGGGCAATTTATTTCTGCCTGATCTTTTTTGTTCGGTTGATTGGTTTTTGTATTTTTTTCCTTTGGAGTACTAATGATTGAATCCAGAGCCTCTCATGTGCAAGGCAAACTCTCTACTGCTGAGCTACATCCCCAACCCTTCTTATTTTGAGATAAGGACTTGCTAAATTGTCCAAGCTGGCCTCAAACTTGTGATCCTCCTGCCTCTGCCTCCTGAGTAGTTGGATTTATGGGCATGAGCCACACACAACCATCTGATCTCTTTACTGACACCCCAATATAATGGGCTGCCCAATACTATCAAGTATCCCTGCCCATCAAACCATCCCCATGGAAGCAGGTGGGTATTCTGGCCTTTGCCTCAAGCTTATATCACTTTGTTCACTGCTCTCTTCTGCCTGTCCCTCCCATTGATCCTTACTGTGGTGCCCCGAGCAGCTCCCTCAAGCTGGGTTGGGGTCTTCAGTCCCCCATATTTCTTCCAGTAGATCCAACAGGAAGCACAAAGGCGGCACTGCATGTTGGGTGGGCCCCAGGCATACCACTGGGCAGACTGTGTGGCTATAGGAG